ATATATTGACTAGTTATATTCATGAAGATCTTAAACAAGAGAAACCATTTTATAGTTTACAAAGGTGATCAAATAGTTAGAGGCCTTCCAAGTAAATGTATTGTTGGTGACCATTAAAGAAAGGGGGTTCTCATTTAGCCTAGAAACATATGTGACAAAGGAAGGTTGCTTTAGAGGTCTTCCAAGTTAATGCATATTACCACTTGTGGCCATGAAGACTTGTTGCTTCAGATATGATTTGAGACACCACAATTACTTGTTTGATGAATAGAATACTACTTGATTAGGATTTCATATCATGCTTGTTTGTGTTGCATAATGTAATGGATACGTCACGATCCGATCTCATGGGATAACTTACTCATTAATTTATTTGAATTAAAATATTGATCTAAAACGCTTAAATATGAGCTCTTGACAGCAGACTCATCTAAGTCCATTCGAATCAATTCTCACCAAGACCGAGTGATTAATGGATGTCTCAAGATAGGATCTTGCAGTTTCAAATCTATCATGAAATCAACAATTGCCCATCAAAGTTGACCCCTTTTTTCCCCCTTTATGTCGCATTCCATTGTGAGAGTGAATGAGTGAGAGAAAGAGAGAGAGAGAGAGAATGGAGGCCATGCATCTCTAGGAAATGAACATACATTAGATTGTACTCTCTCAGATCGATCAAGTTTCTTAGAAAAGTGATAATTCAACTAATCTTATTGTAATACTATGCCATTAGATTTGCAAGAATCAAGCAAAAAATTTTGATCATTGGCTTGCATCATTATCTTTTACAGTACATTCGAGTTCACTTGTTTGCACTTTAAGCAAAAAAGGACAAGCTTTTTTCCCTAATAAATTAATTTTTTAGAAAAAATAGTACTATGACAGTTCAAGTACACTTCAACACATCATTATCATGATAATGATAGATGATCTAATTGCATTGATCTGAATCGTGGCCAAACATTATCCATCAATATGTGTCGGCTGTTTAACGATGGATAATACTTAGCTGATTAAAGGAAAAGAAAGTAATCGATGAGGCCAACGCATTTTCAATCACAGACAATGCAATTTTGTTCCATAAAACACAAAACCAATAGTAAATTTTTAAGATTGAGATCACTTTTGTTGGAGAAAGTAAATGTTAACAAAGAGGTTTTGGCAGTGAAATTTGTAGTTTCATTTGTTGTAAGCTACATGGAGATTTCATATTTCACATGTTCAGCCACCAAATATAAGCATTTTTTTGGATGACAGATGGGTTCATCCCAAACAAGAAAGAACACTATAAAGCCATACAACACAGATCATGAGATCACTACTTGTTCTTCTTGAACAGCCAGATGTAATATGAGACTTGTGTTTGGCTTGCAAACTCGTATTCATTCAGTGTCACTCAAGAACACATCTTTCAGCAGAGAACAGCAGCTCAACGAGAAGAACCTAAAGCAAAAAACAACGCCAAATCCTTACTGTTGACTCGGAAAACATCCATGAGGCTAAAAATTGAAAGGAGAAAACACATGCAGAAGAAGAATCATTTGCACGCCTTCCTTTTTGTGATCAGATTCATCACCTCCAGCATCACTCACCGACTCTTCCAGCCTCATGCATGCAGTGAGCAACAGCTGCGTGCGCTGCCACGCGGGTCACACCACCTTACATCTGGAGCCAGCGGGCGAGTTGGGTGGGGTTGACCACGCCCGGAATGCGGGCCCCGTCCGCCTTAAGCAGGTACGACACCTCCGCGTACGCGATGGGCGGCTTGGACCGCGCTGGCTCCGCGGTCGTGCTCCCCGATCGAACCGGGTTCGCCCTCTCCTTGTCCGGGTCGCTATCCGCTGAACCAGGGCGGACATCGTTAGCCGTCTTGTTATCCGGCTCGGACCCGTTCGGCTCCCACCGTTTCCCGAAGAGGGTTCCTTTGGTGAGGAACTCGTGCGCCAGGCACCCGGCCAAGAGCCGGTTGTCGCGGGCCAGCGCGGGCTGAACCGGATCCGGCCCAGCGGGGGACCGCGCCCGAGGGGAGTCGGACGGTTCCCGATCCTTCCGCTTCCTCAACGCGCCAGCTGCTGCCTCTCCCGCCCGCACGTGAGTCGACATGATTTCAGTTTCGCCACGTCAGCAAGATGGCATCGAATCCGCAAGCGAACAAAAAGAAGGCCGGAGAGGGATCAGATTAAAAGGAAAAAAAAAAGAGGTGAGGGGCAAAACGGTAAAAGAAGAACAAAAGGATAAGATCCACAGCGGGGACGTTACGTGACCCCAGGAATCCGGCGAACCACGCCGGTATAACGGCGAGCGGCGGCCGTGGCGCGGCGGAGGGGGGCCAAGCAAAGGAAGCGCGAAAGGAGATAGGGAAACGCAGGAGGATGAAGAAGATGATTTGAAGGGAGAAGAGAAGCCCTGGTGAGGTCGAGGGATGTATATAATAGAGATCAAATAATGAATGCCCCTGGAACTTGGGGCAAATACGAGCCTGCCATCGTCGGTCTCGTCGAAATGACCGACCTGTCCTGCCAATTGAACTCGGTGATTTGTTAGCTCCTATGACTTGAGATCGACACCGTTCGATCCAAATCGATTCAATATTATACAGCTTCTCACTCTGAAATCCCATCAAATCACCCTTCGATTGGACTTAATTTGGTTCGGAACGGGTCTCCCAGAACCATTAACAGGTGTGAATCGGCGGTCGAGGGGGCAGAGGGAGTTCGTCGTAATTAAGCATGACATGCAGGGGCAACTACGTACCAAGAGAAAAACAAACCCCAACTCGGTGTGGCAGCCATTGGAGGACAAAATAAGGAATCTTCTATTGTTCCCCGGCTTTGACTTACCCCCCAACGTACCCGTATGAGAATGGAGGAGCTGGTTTGAAAGAACCGATGGGACCCGCAGGGTTGACGAGGTCGACTTCCCACGCAAAAAAGTGCGCAGGGGCACATGAAGAAATAAAGTATTCAGAAGAGGGTTAAGACGGTCATTTAGGACTGAAAGATCGAACGGGGCACGTGGTAGGGGGAGAAACGAGCGTGCGATGATGGCGATGGGCTTAGAGATCAACGATCATGGGAGATCCACGAGTCAGATGACGATACCGCGTTTGGGTGAGGCGGGTGACGGAGACGGGCAGATAGGTGCTTGGCAAGCGGTGGCACCACGGCCAACCGTGGCAATGAATTGACAAGATCACCCTCCAAAAAAGCAGGACATCCATAAATTAATCAGATAACAGATGCCATGAGATTAATCACATCAGCTCATTAATTTCAGAATGTCATATAGCATGATAAGTTTAATGTGGTTTAAGGCAGTCATCCCAAAATTATGCTTCAGAAACCAATTAAGGGAAGATGACAAACCTTCATAAGGTTTTCTCATGTGACATGAAGAACAAGAAGGAAATCAAATCAGAAATCAATCAAGGAAGATGAAAAACCTTCATAAGGTTATCTCATTTGACATAAAGAACAAGAAGGAAATCAAATCATTTTTTTTTCCAAAAAATTGTACAATGAAAATTCACTAAAATTATGCTTCAGAAATCAATTAAGGGAGATGAAAAACCTTCATAAGGTTTTATCATTTGACATGAAGAACAAGAAGGAAATCAAATCATGTTTTTTCCCAAAAAAAAAAGGTATAATGAAAGTTCACTAGATAAGAGAGCAACAAATTATTAAAACAGAAAAAAAAACCCAAAACAAATAAACCACAAAAAAATCATGGTTGGTGAATGGAAACATTGCCTTGTCCAGATCTTGTGTCTTTCTCTTTGCACATTGTATCTCTGTGGTCACTCCAATGAAGATTTCCCAAACCCCTTGTCCAGATCTTGTGTCTTTCTCGTTCAATAATAACCAAAATAAAACAGGGCAGTTCCTTGAATGATTTTGATTAACAGAAGTATCAAAGCATGGAATAACCACAGGTATTTACAAACTTGTTTTTTTTAAGTTCTATCGTTCATCACAAACTTCAACATTTCTAATGAACAAGGGTGTCTTTCGATGAAGACAAGCTTCAGATACCTTGACCATTGTTTCACCAAGAAGATCCTCTACAAGAGATTGTTAAATGATTAGCATGATCTTTACATTTTCAAGTGATAACAATGCGAAACATTTTTGTACCTTAAAAACAGTAAAACAAGCTCTCCTCCTCTCCACACCTCACGACAAAGTATTGATCATGATTTGCTATACCTACAAGTCAATCTGCAAGTTAGAGCTTTTATGTGTCAATGTCTCAAGTTATGATGATTTTGTAAAGCATCTCTACAAACTAAAGCTCATACATGCTTATGCAAATTAAGCTTAATCATTGGCCTTTTTGTTAGGAAGAGATACATTACTTCAAAAGGATTTGTCTATTTGTTACTAGCAAATCGTCTAATTACTTCACTATTACTTCAAATGTTTGGCTCATGTGACCACCTTGAGATTGAGGCACTTTAGCTACAAGTAAACCCAAGAATTTAAGAAAATAAAAGATGTCCTACATGTATCAATCAAAAATCTCTTTTCCCCTACACGTCTGGAATCTATTAGTTCATTCCTTGGGAACAATGCGATCCTATAATACCTGTCTTAAGCTAAGAACACTTTCCATTCCTACATAACTCTATAAAAAGGACTCACCTCTACAAGCCTCTTTCTATTCACTATTATTTCAAATGTTTGGCCCATGTGACCACCTAAAAATTGAGTCACTTCAGTGGCAAGTAAACTCAAGAATTTAAGAAACTAAAAGATGTCTTGCATGCACCAATCCAAAATTTTCTTTTCCCCTACTCATATGTCTGGAATCTTTTAGTTCATTCCTTGGGCACAATGCGATCCTATGATACTTGCTCCAAGATAAGAACTCTTCCCATTCCTACAAACCTCTATAAAATGACTCACATCTTTGCCTATTTCCTTCCACAGCCAACCAAGTTAATCATTGTGCTTGCCGCCAACAGTAGTAACGGTAAGCACCAGCAGTTGCATGCAACACTCTAGCATGAAGAGCCATGAGGCTGGTGATGCCGACCATGGCTTCAGGATCATCACACTAGCCGGTGACAACAAGGGCGCAACCATGAAGGCAAACATGGATCAACTGATGGACACCGATGGCATGATGTACGATGACAACGACATCATATGCACCTACACCAATAACAACTATCAGGCTGTGAACAACTCATTTCTTCTTCGTGGGAGCTGCACGGCTGAGGACCCCGGCATTCATGTGGTCATATCAGAGTATGTTGAGAAGGTTGGCGATGGTGATGATCAAGAGAGGTATGAGAAGAAAAAAGAGAATAACAAGAAGGACAAGAAAAGAGAAGAAGATAAGAGCAAGGGAAGCACCAAAGAAGGTTTGGAGTGGTAAGAAGTATGGCTTATGAGCAAAATGATTATGAAGCAATACTTTGAATGCTAATAGGTAATAGCCTTAGCACCAAGTACAAGTAATAAATCTTGTAAGTTGATGCCTGCTATATTAATAAAGAGAAATTACGTTCCGCAAGTCACACTAAGGTGTTTAGTGTGAATTCAGATGAAAACATTGCATTTGTGCATGAGGTAAATCGAACAGCAAAACGAGGAGCGCCACAAAGCAGCTTTAAACATGTAATTTTTGTTGTTGCAATGACATTTCTGTGTCAATCCATGGAATTTGCAAAGTAAAAGTTCTACACAAATTCAACACATGAAAGAATCAAGATTTTCCGCAAGGTTCACTATTTGCCTATCTCTTTCATTGTCTCAGAGTAAGGTACAAATTTATCTTAAATGCAATATATATGACTAGTATGAACAACACCAATATAATTCGCTAGGACGAAGATAAGAATTACTCAGCAAAATGTAGAGCTTCAAAGATTACCAGATATTTAATATTCCAAGTTAAATGCTACATCCAAGTCTAGCAAGGGATTAAACAGAGCACATGAAGCTACAATCAAACTATTTCACGCAAAAATTCCAACATTCTAATATCCAGATCAAAGCAAAGGAGAAGAACGAGGGAGCTCACAGAGACAAAGTAATCTCGGAACCTGCGACCATAGCCACCGCCGGGGCGAGGGCGTTGGCCTGCTTCTCGACGTCGGGGAGGTCGACCTTGACGAGGGGGGCGAGCATGTCGAAGGTCTCCTTGTCGACCTCGATGTATTCGACCCTGATGGCGGACTCGTCGGGGTTGAAGTCAATCCGGCGCTCGCGCTCCTCCTGCTGGAGCTTGAGGGAGATGCCGCGGACAGGGCCACGCTGAATCCGGCGCGTGAGGTGGGCGCTGAACCCGGCGATCTTGTTGCGGCATCGCTTCGACGGGATGAAGGGACCTCCTCGAGGATCTTCTAGTTGGTGTGGAAGTCGATGGTGATGAGCGAGTAGTGCCGCTCGATCACCTGGCGGGAGGACTTCTCCACCGTCTCCGTCCGGACGCGGCCCATCTCGGTGTCGGCGCTCTCTTCTCCGGTGGGGGCGTAGCAGCCGGCACAATTACGATCGAAACTTCACGTTAGGGTTGTGACGGCGTTTGCGAGGGTTGGGCGATCGCCTGCACACGTTGGATGAGTCGGAATGCTGAGTCTTACGGATAGGACTCCCTCGTCTCTCCCAATCACGAACGCGTGGACAAATGGGTGACGGTAGACCAGAAGCAAACTTGCCGCCCTGATTTCATACCCGTTTGGAAAATACTCGACAATTGACCCACTGCTTTTGCGGACGTAAACATGCAATCATGAAGTAGGTACGAGACAAGGGTGACGTTCGTTTAGTAACAAGATGGGCGCGGCATCGGGTTGCACTCGTCTCCCACAGGTCCTTCGAGCGCAAGCAAAGCCCAAGACCGGGGGAGATCTGCCGTGCGATCTTCATCCAACGGACAGAAAGCGTTCCTCAACGCGTCCACACCTTCCCGCCTTCTGCGAACCCTCGTTTTGCACTTGCGAAAAGACTAAACAGTCCTCACCTTTGCACTCCATTCACGAAACGCATTTAGCTCTACGGAGGGGCATTATTGTCTTATTCTTAGTGGCCGGGTCGCATATGAGAACGCCTTCGTTTTATGGAGATTTCGATCACTCCTACCTCTCTACTCTCCACATGATCGGATTCGTGTACTACAGAAGCACCCGTCGCACTTGCCTGGTGACTAGGGATGGAAGAGGATTGGAGGGGTGGGATGGTCGTTCTCTCCGCGAAATCGCTGCCCTTGGGCTTCCGGTTCCGTCCGACGGACGTGGAGCTGGTGAACCACTACCTCAAGGGCAAAATTAGCGGCAGGATCAAGTCGGAGGTCGAGGTCATCCCCGAGATAGATGTCTGCAAATACGAGCCGTGTGATCTTCCCGGTGATCTTCCATTCCCCCGCCCTCAATTCGTGTCTTGCTGCGGAAGCTTTACCTTTGTTTGCGTCTGTGGTCCGTGTTCTGTTTCCCCTGTTTTTCTTACTCGAAAATTTGTTCGGAATTTGATGTCTCCTTGCTGTTTTGTCCCCAATGTTTGATTTCGGATTCCGCTCTGCCGTCACTACTCTGTTTTGTGTGTAAAGGTTGGACTCTTGATGATTGTCTGTGGTGGTTCCTGTGCCCGGGCAGATAAATCATTGACCAAATCAGTCGATTCGGAGTGGTTCTTCTTCGCACCGAAGGACAAGAAGTATCCGAACAGCAATCGTTCCAACCGGGCTACTGAGGCTGGGTATTGGAAACCCACGGGGAAGGATCGGATGATCAAGTCCGGGTCAGCTTGTCCTGCAATTATAGGCATGAAGAAGACCCTTGTCTTCCACCTTGGCCGTGCTCCCAAGGGCGTTCGCACTAACTGGATCATGCACGAGTATCGCACACTTGAGTCTGAGTCTGTCTCTGGTGAGCAGGTGAGTAGCTTCTTTGTTTCTTTTCGTTTCATCTACAACTTTTCCCTTTTTCGTGTGGGGAGAGGTATTATTGCACTATTTCAGTTTCTTGCATTGATAAGCAACAATTATGATTGTTTTCTGAATTTTGTTTCCTAAGTTAATTTTCATGTAATTATTAGTTTCTTGAAATTTTTATTCTCTACCTCTATTTCTATCTGTTATCTTTGTATTCTTTTTATGCTTGTACTCTCGTTACATTCTGTTCTTCTCAAACTTGTGCAGGGTGGCTTTGTTCTCTGTCGTTTATTCAGGAAGCCTGAAGAGAAGACCCCAATTTTTGATAATGATGATTTCACCCAAAGAAATGTTGATGAGATGGAGAGTAGTGGCTTGTTTGCACCAGCAACACCTTCACCAGGAGAGACACTACATGGAGTAGAGGCTACAGAGGAAGTTGTGACACCATTGAACCAAAAAAATTTGGGATCTGATTTGCAAGAGATTTTACAGCCTTTGCCTCTGAAAACTAATGTGCAACCATCAGGTGTTAATGGGCTGGCAGCAGATAAGACTGATATCACGAGAAGCTATCCTTTGAAGCCAGAAGAGTCTCATTGCAATGACACTATTGTTTCGGATGCCGCTAATCATGGAACTGTTTTGGGATCTGAGGTAAGTTATTGTGAACATGAGCAGTTCATCCTAATATGTAGACTTGCTTATATATCTCTAAATTTATTATGGCTTAAGATGAGAAATTTTGCCATCCTAAATTACCCATTCGTTATAATTATACTTCAGTCAGGCGAATATAAACTTTCCTCAGTCTTTTTCTTGTATATGGAATTCAGGATGCTTTTCTGGATTATTTAGCACAATACTTTGGCCCAGAGTATGACACGCTTGGCCCTGATGATTACCGTCTGAGTTCCACAGTACTATCTTTCACGGGGAACTCATTTGATGCTCTTCATCATGAATGTCTGCAGGAGCTTAGTCAATTTGACAACATTGGACAGGATTCTGTCACTGAGTTTTTAAATGCAATGCTTTGTGATCCAGAGGAATGTTCCCCTGAGGTATCAAATGCCCCAAGAGGTTTCCTAACTGAGTTTGAACCAGATAATCAGATCTGTGTGACCAGGAATGATTCCCCCTGGGATTCACCACTCTGATAAAGAACCTGAAGCTACTGTTTTTTAGGTGAGATTTTCATTTCTTAGAAGGAAATATTTTAGGAGCACCATTTCTGTGACTTTTCTTTGTTGCCTTTGCAAGTTCCTAAAATCTGTTCAATTGCATGAACATATATGATAAAGCAATTTTAGTTAGAGAAGTTGTAAAATTCTAATTTTTCTTATTTGCTAGGTACCTTAGAGGAACATGGTGTTTTCTGGAGGAACCAACAGTCTGCCCATTTGTTCAAGCAATTCTTTGCGGAAGAACAGTTATATTGTTCCTACGAGACAAGACATGAGTCAGTTTTCTGTGTTTCCCAATCAGAATTCGAGCCTAAAATGTTTGCTCAATGGTCTCTGCTGCAACGAATCAAGAAAAAACCAATATGGGTAACTCTGACACAGCTGGAATCCATATCGGAGCTTGCAAGAATTTGTCAGGCTCTGATAACTTGATTGAACAGCCAGGCTTGTCAAGGAACCCGTTACGTTTGCAAAAGCTCATTCACGATGGCTCTGTCCCCAGAACTGATCATGCAGTAAGCAGTACGATTGATGATATGGTCAAAACAGTGGTCCCTGACTGAGGTTTGAAGCTTTCTTTGGTTATTTTCAGAAATGATAACATTGACCTAATGTTGAATCTTAAGTCAATATTATAACAATTGTTGTTGTTGATCATATTGGCCTAATGAAATGTTTAATCTGAAGTGGCTAACCTTGAAAAGTGTCTACAGGTTAGAAAACATTCATTCGGAGCACCAATTTGATGAAAAAAAATCAGCTTCTGATCTTACTGCCAATATCAGTACTGAGGACATCCCTTCTCGTGGTAATAAGCAGCAAACCATGCTGAAACTAGAATATTTTGATCACTGAAGTTTTTACCAATTATTAGAGCTCACGATGGATATGCCTCGATTTTAGTATATTCTGCTTTTCTATTTATTTACTTTGCATTATCCTAATTCTTAGAAACCGTGTGGGTGTAAGTTCCATTTGTGCCCCTTGCAGATGTTGAAAATGGCAGGTATAGTCCAAATAGTTTATGCCCCTTAGAAATTGAAAAGAAACAGCAAACAGTCCTTTTCATGTATCTAACTTTCATACATATATTATATGTATATTCCTGAAAAAGATAGACTGTTTTTGGTTTTCGAGGGGAGATAAATTTCATCTCGATATTTCTAGGGGTCATTCTGAGATTACCCTCTTTCCATGTGTTGCACATAAAAAATTTTCCTAATAATATTCCAGAGAATGTGAATCACTCTGACCTATGAACCAAGCCTTTAAGACCTTCCTGAGCAATTGATTAGTTCCAAGGGTATATTGGGTATAACTCATCTTGAGTTGGTCAAGGTGATGTGAACATGATAACTGAGCTGACTGAATTTGTAGCACAATCAACTACTTTGCTGATCACTGTTGATTCTCATGCAGATAATACGAATTCTACTGAGATAAGGTCCTCTTCTCCTGAGATCTAAGATTCCAAACCCGAGTTGATGTTGAGAACAAGATGGAGACATAAGAATGAGGATAAAATCAGCAGCCAGTCTACTGATGCAATGGCAATTAGAGCTAGACATACTCGACTATTACAATCACATTGATTCTATCAGCAGTACTAATTTTATTATTCCTTGGATTACAATCAGGTGCCTGAGCTCCTGAGAACAGAATCAACTCTTGGTCTTTGCAAAATTTTCAGTCTTGGAACATGTAAAGTTTACAGCTCCGCAACAGAGCGTTCAGCAGCCCATCCAGGGAGCTACTTTGAAGCTATTTCTGGCTGTGAAGGATGAAGGTTTCTGACCAAATTAAAAGAAGCAGAGACTCTGTAGAGACACATCAGAGGTGGCTTCTTGGTACTGATGTCGAAGCACTCGACTCTCCGAGGTGTGCTGTACTACACAGTAGTTAATAATTCTGCATGGGTTTACTTTAACCACCTGCACTGCACACTACCTTATGGTGATGGCACATTTGATGGTTGTATCATCTTGTACCATGGTGTTGTATAGGTCAGAAACAGGCAGATCTTTGTTTTTTTTTAGTCCGGCCCATAGGTGGGATTGTACCGGACAATAAGGACATTGAGCTTAAATCTAATCAATTATTAAAAAAAAAAGTTCGCACTCAGTGTGAGAAGTGGGCGGCTAAGCTTCGTCGACTTTGACCTAAATTTTATTTTACGTGAAGAATTCTTGCAATAAACTTTACAATCCTAACGGTATTGATTTACGATTTATCTTTTCTTAGATATTTTTTTGATATATTCATTTGGTGAAATCTAAATTTTTTCTTTGATGAAATTCATATACAATAACGATGATATATTATTATTGAATCAAGATTTATGTTATTAATATTATTTTAGATAAAATTTATTATAAACATATTATCATTATTGGTGATAGTGAAGGTTTAAAGTGGACTACGATCCCGTGATTTTTCTCGTATTAGATTTTACACGTAAAAATTCAATATTTCAATTTATGACTAATTTATTATTTTAATTAATATTTAACTTTAATAATAAATTAATATTTTAATAAGAAACCCATTTTAATAAAAAAGAGAAAAATTATTCCACTATATACTCGTGCAAGTATTCATCATTACAAAGTGATGTGGTTCTTACTGGGCATATCTAAAATCTCTTGTCGAACTCTAAACATAGGTTTCATAATGTGAAGCATAATTGTTTTTTCTACATAGAACAGGATGGGAAAACCTTCAATGTGATGTGATTGGCTTGGGGTCGAATGCTTGCACATCCGGAAATGTTGATTCTCAAGCACCAAGCAATATTCTTATACTGCTCCTTATCATTGCATGCTACAGCTATTTTCCCGGCTACATTGGATCACAATCATGTTCATTTATCTTATAATTTTGGCAAGCTTCTTCCATTTTACAAGATTCTTCAAAACAAAACGTGCATATAGCCATATTAGTTCTGTTTGCAACTACAAACTACTCTTAAAACCAAAGACAAAGGCTCAAATCTGTCCAACAAAAATCATAGTCAACCTAATTCTCATCCTTTTGTGTTATTTGAATTGATTCCAACTTGAGCTAAGGCAGGCATATGTCTACACCAATGTCTCTCTTAGAGAACTGTAAGACCACTTATTCAGCAGCATCAAACATATAGATGCATTATATATGTGCACAATCAAATTGGAATCACACTGTTTCTCCTTCATCTTCCGGGGCATCCAATGCAAAGCTCTGTCTCGACATCAGTATGTTGACCGGGTATGCCAACTTCCTTGGTAGCAGCAAATGGTAGCTTATATTGTAGCTTGCATGCAATTCAAACATCAAAAATGATCATCTCAGGTCAAACCATGGAAATGCTTAATTTACTTAACGATGGATAAGATGGAATCACTTTTACATCGATTGATTTGATGTACCTTTTCACGTTAAAGATTTGTATTATACTTGCATAGGATAACATAAATGTTATTTGGCAGGGTTTGGAGAGACCTTCTACCTTCTCTTGAAGCTGTGCAAGCTGCTCTTCTACTAATTGGTACTGAAAACAACACATCTACTTTAGCTTATCAATGTCTTCAATTAGAAGTAGACAGTAAATTGCCCGGTGACTTGCCCTCCAATTCATGCAGTTCTTCAAGAGAATATGATTCTAATTTTTCACCTAATATTTTCCTTCATCATATTTTTGGATTTAGAACCCCAAAGTCAGCAAAATTTAAGCGTTTTAAGTTACTATACTAACACAAAAAAATAGAGAATGAGTAGAAGGTTGAAACTGACCATATAGAGGATTCAAGATGCTCCATCTTCTTGACCATATTTGCAGCTTCATACCTACATGGCTTCAATTACAAAAATTAAATTTTAGGACATTATACAGAAATATTAGTAATGAGACAAACCATTTTATTATTATTCTTTTTCTGAAATTGGAAAACCTATCAAGATTCCATTCAAAGATCCTTTGAACTTTTGTTTTTTTCTTCTTTACGAATCTCTCAACTATAAGAAAAAAAGGACCTTAGAGAGGAATTTGATGTCTTCACATTCTTTTTCTCTCCTTATCTTCGCAACCTTTCAAGAACATGTTTTTCTTCCCTTACTTGTGAGGTCAAGTGAGGGAGAAAGGGAAGCAGCTAAAGAACCGGAATGAATGCTTCAGGATTGAGCAATTAAGGATCTCTTAAGGTGCCTTCATGCAATAAAACCTTAAATGGAGTTGGAATGCAGACCTGCTTATCATGTTCTATGACACTGCCGCTGGTCCTTTCTTTTGCTTGTCCTCTGTAACGGTCAAGTATTTCTTGCATACTGATGTGACAAAAATAATATTAGAACCATATACACAATTATGCACGACATGAAAGAGAGAGAGGGGGTCGGTTGAAACCCTAACGATCATCATCATGGAGAAAGGAAGAGGGGGCGGGGAAGGGAAGGACCTGGAGGTGGCGAACTCGTAGAGCTTGCCGCGGGCGGAGAAGATGATGAGGGCGATATCGGCGTCGCAGAGCACCGAGAGCTCGAAGGCCTTCTTCAGTAGCCCGTTGCGGCGCTTGGAGAAGGTCACCTGCCGGCTCGTCGCGTTCTCTAGCCGCCTCAGCTGCGTCTTCCCCCTCACCATCCTCCACCTTCAGCCACGGAACGACACGGGAAGGGTCAAGAGCGGATCACCACAAACGGCAAAACACCGGATTTGGTTTGGGGATTGGGCGTTTACCTTCCTTGTTCGGTTCGTCCCTTCCTAAAAGAAAGATGGAAACCGCCCCAGTTTGCGCTGCGGTGGAGGCACGTCTTTGGCCATCTGTAAGCGGTCGGGGCCACTGCAGCGCCTCGTACGACAGCGATAGGAGAAAATGCTCCGGCGGCCAGCAGGTACGCGTCCGTACGATCCGTCTTTCTCTTCCCCGCCCGCCCCCCCCCGCCCCCCCACCAAAAACCACCGGCGGGGCTCCTCCTCCTCCCGCGCCGGCGGCTTCTCTACCTATTGGTCTCCTTTTTCTTCCCTTCTGCTCCATCGTTTGCCGACTCACATAGGCCGGGCATGTTTAGCGGCGAATCCATGAGGACACTTCACGAATATTTCTTCTTGTTTGCGTCTTCGTTGGCCAAATTGGGCCGCCAAGTGCCACTTTCCATGGATCACTTTCATGTGAACCCCCTTCCTGTCTCCATCTAGACAGACATACTTAGCTATATCTAATTCAATCAAACTATTCTTTTGGCATCACAGTTGGAAATCGATAAACGATCAAGAATTAGATGATACCAGAGGAGGATTCACGTTTGGATCATGTAACTTGATCAAGAATTATCTGAATATTTCTACTGTAATCTTCATTATGTTAATTCAGTAATGTCTTGATCTAAATTTTATGGTAAATAATAATCAATACGGTGCCAATTTATGTTGTAGACAGAATAATAACCACTATGGTGGCAACTGTGGAACCATCAAAGCTCCCTTGTGATCATGGGAGCCAATCTTTATCCACAAGCAAAGAGAAGAAGACTTGCTTCGTTCGTGTAATCTGCAGTCAAAACGAAGGGTGAGACTTGCTATTTTTCTTACATGTAGTGAGTACGACTAGATGATGGATTGAAGTGGCCGAAGCATGATTCCTGGATCTTGTCCCTTTGCAGTCTCCCTTCCTGGGAGCAGATTGTGTTCCACGAGTCGAGAGTCTCAATTAAAGGAGGAGGAGGAGGAGGAGGAGTTCTGCTATCAGTCCTTTGTTGACATGGGGTTTCCGGTGGGCTGCTCCGAGCTGATCGTGCCATTAACGCTCCTCCGCATAGCTTTGCTCCTGGGCCACCTGCGACGCCTCCTCTTCCTGGTCTTCGACGTCATCCCCTGGCCCGACAACTCCAGCAGCATTAGCCGCGGCAGCAGATGGAACCAGCCGTTGCAGTCGGCGTCGGCGACGCTGACCATCGGAGGGGCGCTTCCGGTGGTGAAGTACGAGGAACTGCCGGAGGCCGACGACGGCTGCGCGGTGTGCTTGTGCGAGCTGGAGCACGGGGACGAGGTGCGGCGGCTAAGCAACTGCCGCCACGTCTTCCATCGTGGCTGCCTGGACCGGTGGGTGGAGCACGACCAGAGCACCTGCCCGCTCTGCCGGGCTCCTCTCGTCCCGGTGGAGATGCGCTGGGCCTCCGCCACGGATTCTTACTACAACGACGACGACAACGACGACGACTGCTTGTCGATCGACTCTTCTCTTCATCTTTAGGTAATGGCGTCATACAATAGCGTGATCTCTGCACTTTGGCTCTGCTGATCTCTACACAGGGAGTTCACGTCACTGATCTAAAGAAAGCTATTGGTTTGAGCAAGATGAAGATTCAAGAGACCTCATCTAAAGTAGCTAAATCTTTCTTCTTCAAGTCCTTCCTCTCTTACACTCATCAGTACTCAACATCTCAGCTCTTGGACTCCTCCATGCTTCTGCTTCCATGAAGCTCCAAAGACCATAATACCTCTGCTTCAGATGAGGTTATGTCGAGCAGTGTCACCTTTCAATCACTCTCTATGTAGACAACTTCTTTACCACAGTATCATCCACAAATTTGGACCAACTCCATATCTCAATGTGCAATTCAATCTGTCAACAAAGCCACCTATGCAACATTACACTGATTTCCTTGAACACATCTTATTCTTCTCAGACATCTAATCCAATACAAAGGCAATTGGTGACAGAACATGACTGTTCTACAGGAACTAATTTTGTCTGGCCAAATAAACTATTTGTAAGAGATGCTTATGTAAGATTTAAAGAATATTTTCTTACAAAAAATATTCATGTAAGAAATGAAGATGGAAAGAGAACTAAGGAGTAATAGTTAAACTACATGTATTAGATTTGATCCATAATTTAATAGATTAAGTATTTGGATAGAATTGATTTTGTTTTTCTTGTTTTAGGGACACTTATAGTTATCGGAAGTAGCTTGACTATCGAATAAAATGACTTGATCTGCCATGTTTATGATAATTTCAAATTTTAGTTTTGGGTTTCCGAACATATTTTCATTTTTTTTCAAAAAGAAACATCTCAAATAAATATTGATGTTACATTTATGTCCTAGCCGACACTTTGGCACCATGTAGGCGACATATGATCGACATGTCGACAACATGGGGCAGCGTAGTTTTAACATTGCCGACACTTTTGTATCTCGACTAAGTCTGACCCATCAATGCATGTTCTAAATTTAGAGCCCCACAACGCCACATTCCTAGTTAGGCCGAAGAGCAATATATAATTGCATCCCGTAATAATCGTCGATTTTGGGAGTAACGATCGATAGAGCCCACTTTGAAAGGTACTCCTATGGTACATTTCACACATTGAGAAATTTCTTTTAATAGCTCGTCCAAATTGTCTAAATCCAATATTGACTTAATCGTGGAAGAGACATTGATCGAAAACTCCCTCGACTTAGTTTTATAGGTTTGACATATTTAGGTCAGCAAGAATTAAAATTTGTATTAAAATTGACATGGGAGGAACCTCATTGGCTTCGAAAATCACTTTCAATTAGTGTTAAAAGGTGGGCCCATGAGGTCTCGACTCTCCTATTGGGGGCACTAATAAATACATTTAGTCTCACATGGATTAAGGTATAGACTTAACAAGGCTTTATAAGTACTAACATTATCCTATACTTTGACGTTTTTTGGATGATACCTCGAAAGGGATTTCCATATAGGTTCATCTAAAATGGAGAATTCCTCGTGATCCCTCGTACGCATATGCTGATTATAATAATTTATTATTTTTCACTTGATAGAACTAAACTCTAGTATTAAAGAGAAGTTGACAAAGATTAGTGATCCACTTATTTTAGTTTGGTAGATTTGGTAGAGAAGAAATGGTTGATCCAACATTACCTATCTACGAGAGGACAAAACTTGAAGCTTTAGGCAACTTGATGTTGACGTTAATTAGCTCATTCAAATAGTTGAATTAGAGACAATCCTTCTTAATTGTCTATTTTTATCAATTAACCCTCCTGATTGTGATGTTATTATGTCAACGCACGCATGAAACCATCCTTTTCGACATCTTCTCACATTGCATCATGTCCCATTGTTCTTTGCAGCTGAACTAGCAAGAACACAACTCTCTCTTCTCCTCTCTTCTTCGGTACAATATTTCGTCAACACAAAGCATTTTGTTGCGTCTTTTAGCATACATACGAAGCATTTGGTTTATGCTTAGAAGCTATATAATTGAATGGTGGCATCAAAAAGGCAGCTCAGCTACTAAACCTTGCGTACGATTCCTTTTCATCTCGATGGAGAAAGCATCATAGAATTAGATTACTCTTGCAAATTTGGACGTAAACTCTTCTGCTCTCGCTGCAATCTGTGAGTTAATTCTGTCCAAGAAACAATGTGATTGCTGACTAATATATGCTTCTTGAAAGCATATCTTTTTGAGTATGTTGATGACAGCAACTCAAAAGCATATCTTTTTGAGTATGTAGAAGGATAGGCATTGATCATGCCATCCTTGTGATCCTGCCGTCATATACGGCCTAATTAATACCAATAAAGCCAAACCAAGTTGATAGAACGCAAAAGAAATAGTTCATCACAAACTTTCTTTTTAGCTTTTCTTACCTCAATATGCCTTTCTTACATGGTGATAATAATTGATTAGTTATAAGCCAATTCAATGATTCCAAGATTATCATAGCATCCTAAATCTTGCTTTCTCAAAGATGAACATCACATATCATCTTAAATCCGATGGTCAAGCGATTGAATTAATCTAATATACTTTTCGATAATTATCTAAGACTCGATCGAGAGAATTTATCTTTATAATCTATACCTCTCATTTAGTATCTATTTGTTAGAGTTCGAGTATTCGATGCTAGTTTGATAAATTCAAATTAAATATATTTGGACATACTATTTTGTATAATATTTATCATCATTGGTCATAAAATATTTTCTTTTTTTAATAAAAACTGTTGTTAAATTAATCGAAAAATAATAATCATATTAATAAAACAATGATCTGAATCAAAAATCAAAAATAGTTTTGAAAGTGGAGTTTTGGTATGTGTTTTTGTACCAACTGTGGTTAAGCTATGAGTGGAAGATGGAATTCCAGCCTTGTCCTGTGTGTCACTCCTTGGCATTCATTGATGTGTGGCATTCATGAGACTCATCACCTCAATCTTATCTTGTGTTGCCCAAATCATTTGGCCAATCAAGGAAACATCTCCACAGACAGTCTCTTGAGATGTCATGTCATGCTGTCATCTGTTTGGGGTGCACTGACAGCACTGCACACATCTCTAATGGACTGCCCAAATCCACCCTCATCTTTGATGGCACCATAAAAACACCTGTACTTTTTCTTACAGCTCATTTAAGGTATGGTTTTATGTTACTTAACATCAATGTCTTCTCAGTGTAACTCAAAGCTCAATCAGTACCTAAAATGACTTGGAATTCTCCAACAACAACAAAAAAATCTTTTTTTTCTCTGCAGTGTGCTTCAATTTTCAAATATTTAGTAGTGTGTCATATTTCTCATTTGCAGATTATATTCTAAATATTACTTTTTTCGACGGAAAAATAAAGCAAAAATACATGAGTATTTTCCTAAATAGAAATTAAATATTTACATATTTAATTTTGAAAATGAGAGATAGTTTGTAGGAGAAAAAAAAAAGGGGTCTTTGAAGGGAATTGATTTAAATATTTACATATTAATAATTGCAGTGTATATATTGTTAAGTGACATTTTGTTATCAGCAATGAAATTGACTGATTAAATGTGAAAAATATGAATTATGATAAAAATTTATGAAAATAACATTTAATTTTGCTATCAATAATGGGTAAACTTGGAGGCGATTCGGGCCGTTGACGTGCCCGATTCCACGTGCGAGGCCTATTAGCATCCACCGTTGATTTCATTGACGTGACTAATCTCACGTGCGAGTCTTACTTAGGATCCACCGTCCATGTCAACGTATGTCCACCGAGAAATCACGGGTAGATGTTGTCTGACGTCATCTATTTTGTCGACATCTATCGGGTCTCCTCCATATCTACACGCCTTCCGTTCGTCTTTGCGTCGCACAGTCATAGCCTTCTTCCTCGCAGCTCACATGGAGTCCTCGCAGCAGCAGCAGCAGCAGCGCCTCGACGACAGCTTCTCCTACGGGTGGCTGGTGAGCGTCAAGCCGTCCGAGCCCCTCGGTGACAGTCACCGCTCCGTCGACACCCAGGACGGCGGCGGCTCCTTCATCGAGCTCGACCCCGGCTACATCTCCATGCGTTGGACGGACGACGACCACGACTTCGACTTCAGCCTCCCGGAGCCGCACCACCAGGCCCAGGTCCAAGCCGACCAGATCTTCTCCGACGGCCACCTCCTGCCGCTTCACCTCCGTAGCCCGTCCGCCGGGGAGGCAGGCAAATCCCAGCCGACGTACTCGTGCGCGGTGCCGAGTCGAGCCGCCTCGGCCAACTCGTCGCCGCTGTTCCACTCCGCGAAGAGCTCGCCCTACTGCGCGAGCTCATGGTCGCCCAGCAGCAGCCTCGCCTCGAGGAGCGGCAAGTTCCATTCGCAGCTCGTCAGGAGCTGCGCCAAGTCACCCAAGAAGATCCTGTGCAAGTACTTCTGCTTCCTGATGCCATTGTACAAGATGGTGAAAGATTTCAGACGGAGTTCTTGGAGATCGGTAGGCAGCTGCAAGGACTCGGCGAGGAGCTCTCCGAGGACGAGCAATGCCTTGTCAAGCATAGATTGGTGCCGCAGCAACGCCGATATCTCGATCTACGATGCGATTCTCCACTGCAAGAAGTCAATTGCAAGTTCGAGTGACACGAGAACTGTCTGAATTCAGAGCTGCAATGGAGTGTCATCTTAAGTCCTGCTTTGGAATTCTTTCAGGAACAAGACAAGTAAGAGACGACCTGCAGCAGGGCATGGCTAACAGGGGAGGAGGAAAGCTGCATGTTTCTCCTTTTGTCTCATCTTGTAGATTTGAAGAACTTGTATACTTTGGTGTGATGAGGAAACACCTCTTCTGTTTCTTTTGTCAGTCGATTTTTCTGTTTAGCATCTCACTCGCTCAACCCAAAGAACAAAGATTTTACTCGATGATGAACGATCAGAGGTACTGATGATCCAAGAAATGCCGATTTGACATAGGAACTCTCCTTTTGCAATCAGTGACAGGCATGAGAGAGAGAGAGAGAGACAGAAACAATTAGAACAACCAAGAGTGTGCCTCAATCTGATTCATGCCTTGGGTCCTTTCAAATCATATACTCTGTTCAGAAGTCAACAAGAAGATCAAATCTTGATGTCAATCAGTTCGTATTACAGTGATCTACAGTAGCTAATCATGGCAATTAATATAATCCGAGTACCAAAGGACGTCTCGTTACCAGGAAAAATCCACTGTTTTCTCAGTACTGCTCGATGAGATACAACTACTTAGGCCCCCATGCGGTGACACATTCCATAGCAAAAGCTTCCTCCCATTCATGCTGTAGGATGGAGATCAATCCGGTGGCTGTCATCCGCCTGCTCACTCTA